AGAGAGAGAGAGAGAGAGAGAAAAGAGGAAACAGGAGAGGGAGAGAAGGAAGAGAGAGAGAGAGAGAGAGAGAGAGAGAGAAAAGAGGAAACAGGAGAGGGAGAGAAGGAAGAGAGAGAGAGAGAGAGAGAGAGAGAGAGAAAAGAGGAAACAGGAGAGGGAGAGAAGGAAGAGAGAGAGAGAGAGAGAGAGAGAGAGAGAAAGAGACAGACAGAGATAGAGAGAGGGGAAAGCGACAGAGAGCAAGAGCGTGAGATTGGTGGAGAGGTAACAATAAACAGAGAAAAAAACCCTTCAGGGAAAACTATATCTGCTTTTGAGTTGTCCCAAACAGTTGCAGCTCTGCAATTTTCCGCGGCCAGCATCACATCTGATCAGTGCAATTCCATTTCAAAAAATTGCAGCAATCATGTTGTTAGTGGGCGCATCCCTTCAGAGCCACACTGAAGCGCGCATCCACGCAAAATCCCGCCTGTCATTACGCAGATATGCCTCCCAATACGCATAACGCAATTTCGACCTTTATTGGCTTTTCGAAAATAATAAGCAACGCACGTCCGCAGCCGTAGAAATGCCGAGGCGCGCTCTGAAAGCGAAAAAATTGCCAATCATTGCTCGCCCGTCCTGTAAAAGCGCGTAGACTGCGGACTAAAGGAACGCGTAGGTGCGGGCGCCACGGGAAATGAATTGAATTTAAATAAGCGTGATCGGTGGGAGGGGAGGGGTGGGGGGAGCGGGCGGACGCCGTGAGCATCGCGTGCGGCTCGTTACGTCACGTGTATTGATAATGCGAGCGCGCGGGGCGCGAAGCAGCGATTCAGCGCAGGAAGCAAATCCACGGCGGTCGCGTCGATTCAGCAAAACATTTGCCCATTAGCGGTGCGTCAGGCGCCTGCCTGCTCGCCGTGCGCGTGACCGGCGCGGGCGCGGCGCACGTGGAGAACGCGGCTGCTCGCCACTCTGACGTCATCACCTCCGCTCAGCGACGACGTCGCGGAAGTTGCGCCCGGAGTTGTGCCTCCCCCTCCCCCTCCCCACTGAGTTGTGCCTCCCCCTCCCCCCTCCCCCCTGAGCGGGCGAGCGCTCCGATTGTAGTTCCCTACGTAACGTCACGTCGTGCCTACGTTGAGTTTACATCGTTCTGTCGTGCCTATTGAAATCTGATTGTTTTCATGCCTGATCATCACCGTCAATGCGAGGCCACGCGGCTAGCTATGCTTGCCATCGACCTATCCGCCCTGACATGCACGATCAATGGGCATCTCTCTCCTGAATCACTGCTCCTGCGATAAAAAGACAATGCTCGACATAGTATCGTCAACAAGTGTGGCAAAGTCAACACTTTTGTACGAACGCGTGGATAACACGCACGAGCTAGAGACAACGTTATTTCCCTCAGATGGAAAGGCCAACGCCAAACGTTTAACGCAGTGAACCGAGTCACAGCTAAAAGGTCCCTATATATCGCACACCGTCAGACACTCACACGATAAGGTGCTGTGGTGAAAGAACGAAGTATACGCACACACGCAGTGGCACCGGCAGGAAGTGCATATCGGTTGCAGTTCGTCCCAGTTTTTAGCTCGTATCCGGCCAGTGGGCAGATGTGTACCGAGTGTGAAGTGATGTGAACATATTGCCAGGCACATCAAAACCTATCACATCACAGTGCGGCGCGGGACTTCCGACAATGACGATGAAAAGAAGGATCGGACTTAAATCAATCCGAGCCAAAACCCCAAAAGCCCCTCTCTCCCGTAACAATCCCAGAACCTCTTCCGAGAATATGGACGTCTCCTCTAGTATTATTTACGCCTAATTTTGTATATGACAACACAAGTATTTTATACCTTCGAGGGAAACTAATAGGTAATAACTGTATGTCTCTATAATATCAAGGGTACTATACATACATACTATACATACATATATATACATACTATACATAATAGAGATCTCTATTACGTATTCTTGATAGTATCAAGCGATACCACTATAATATGAGGAAATGTCTGTGTAATGTCAATCAATGACTGTAATATCTGTCAGTAACCCTATAATATCAGACAATGTCTCTGTAATATCAATCAATGATTGCAATATCAGTAATAAAAATAATATCAATATAATAATGATTGATGTAATATCAATCAAAAACCCTATAACATCACTCAATGTACAAGCAGGCAGGCAATTAACCAGTACTGTCATAATGATAAGCCTGTGCTACTGCTCGTTTATGCTAGCAATGAGCAGCGTTTACACAATTAATTCATTTTAATTAGCTAAATTAACTTAAATATTGTTGATTAGGTGTTCATTAAAATGCCACGCAACGTGATGAGTTGCATTATTTGTGACGTTACACACCGACACTAGGGCTTCTGTATGTAGGTGTATTGTACTATTGCTCGCTGGCCTAACTTGGTAGCCGGCCACGCTGCGTCTCTACTACGTGTGTACATGCAACATACACAGAAGCACGCAGTCACGCATACGCGCGCGCACGCACGCACACGCACGCCTATACGCCAGCGCGCACGCCCGCCCGCCTGCACGCACGCCCGCACGCACACCCGCACGCACGCATGCCCGCACGCACGAATGCCCGCACGCATGCACGTACGCCCGCACGCACGTACGCTCACACGAATGCCCGCCTGCCCGTACGCTCGCACGCTCGCACGCACGCACTCCCACACGCCCGCACGCACGCACGCACGCACACCCGCATGCCCACACAAACGCCCGCGCCCCCGCCCGCGCCCCCGCCCTCACGCACGCGTGCCTCGGCGCGGCCGTCCGAACTCGAGGTCCTATCTCCTCGGCGTGTTCTCGATGCATGGGAATGCGCTAAGGAGCTCTCTAGCGGTAGCTGCCGCCGCCCCTGTGACCCTTCCTGATGCCCATTGGCATCATCTATAAATGGGTGACGCGCAGCCTCGGCTCTTCGTTAGAGATCCTTCGCCATTCACCCGCATGCTGTGAGAGCTGCGTGTGGATGACGGCCGTTGCGGCTGCAAGGGCCCGACGACGCCGGAGCGACCGTTTCATAGCGTCGCCGGCGCAGCAGAACGACATATAGAGAGACCAGACGACATAATAGAGCAGACGACATAATAGAGCGGGACGACATACTTAGAGCAACGACATAGTAGAGCGGAGACGACAGTATGAGAGCAGCACTATATAGAGCAGACAGAGCATATAGAGCAGAGACATATAAGCAGACGACATATATGAGCGCACGACCATCATAAGAGCAGACGAGCATATAGAGCGAACCGACATATAGAGCAGGACGACCATACAGTAAAAACCCGCCGTATAAGCAACCATAATTTAAGAAACAGTTTGAGGCTGAAATTTCCCATTTCGTGACCCGCTTTACAGAAAACCTGGTGTGTGAGGCTAAGATTTTTAAAGTAGTGTCTTAATTTCCATGAGATGAAGACTTTAAAAACGAACACAGCTAAATAAAAAAGACGGGGGAGCCTCAACAGCATATCGATGCCAATAACAATTGCCAATGCCAATTCGCCCAATGCCACGATGCCCTCAACATAACCAATGCCAGGTCACCCCTGCATTTTATTGAGACACGTACGCATTATTTCATACTACAGTAAAAACCCGATAACAAAACCACGGATCGAGTTAATGGGTTACGTTAAGCATGATTGTAATGTATTCTGTATGAATCCACACCATTAAAAAAACAAAACATGTGCAACAACTAACACGTCTCCATATAACACACTTACACAATAACACTACTGCTACAAAAAATTAAAATGGTAAACACAATGCATCACAGTCACTACCGCCGGGGTGATTCCGGCTCCGGACAATATTAAAAGTAGAAACCAAATATGAAACCTATTTAAGAACCTTTGAGCCCTAATTTTTCCAGTAAGCACCATTCTGATGTAAGAACATTTGAGGCTAACTTTGGAAAAAAGTCATGTTCTTATACGCGGGTTCTACTGGTATAAGCAGCGTGATGTCAATATAGAGCAGACAGACGACATATAGAGCAGACGACATATAGAGCAGACAGACGACATATAGAGCAGACGACATATAGAGCAGACGACATATAGAGCAGACGACATATAGACGGAGCACATAATAACGCACAGACAGACAGACGACATATAGAGCAGACGACATATAGAGCAGACGACATATAGAGCAGACGACATATAGAGCAGACAGACGACATATAGAGCGGACGACATATAGAGCAGACGACATATAGAGCAGACGACATATAGAGGCGCGACGAATAAGACGACAATTAGTGGGAGACTATTAGAGCAGCACACATAGAGCAGACGGACATATAGACAGACAGCACGACATATAGAGCAACGAATTAGAGCAGCAGACGACAGATAGAGCGGGACGACCAGTTATAGCAGCGGACGACATTATAGTGCGGCAGGGGGGCGGGCACATATCTAGAGCCAGACGACATATAGGTGCAGCGACCATATAGAGCGGCACACATATAGCGGACATAAGCTGCAGACGACATATGTCGAAAGCGAGCACGACTATAAGAGCAGACGACAAATAGCGAGCAGCACAGTAATGACATATAGAGGGCGACATCATAGAGCGGACGACATATAGCGCAGCAACACTATAGAGCAGGACGACCGAACATATAAGACCGGACGAATATAGAGCAGCGACATCATAGAGGCGGACGGACATATAGAGCGGACGACATACCTAAGAGCGGACTCAGACAGTAAATAGAGCAGACGACATATAGAGCGGACGACATATAGAGCAGACGACATATAGAGCAGACGACATATAGAGCGGACGACATATAGAGCGGACGACATATAGAGCAGACGACGCTAGGTAGAGCGGGTACTACAGATAGTGCAGACGCATATTAGGAGCAACGACTATAGAGCGGCACGACATACTAGAGCGGAACTATATAGAGGGAGGACGACATATAAGATGCAGACACCATACTAGACGGACGACATATAGACGCGGACGACATATAGACCGCGCACGACATATGAGGCGGGAAGATATGTAGAGGCGCGGAACGAATATAGAGCAGACGAATCATAGAGCGGTACGACATATAGAGCAGACGACATATAGGAGCAGACGACAGTATAGGCGGAGACCATATAGAGCGCGACATATAGAGCGGACGACATATAGTGCAGACGACATATAGAGCAGACGACATATAGTGCAACAACTTCCTCAGCAATGGAGCAAGCCGCCGCCTCTGTGCTAGCTGTAGCTGGCTACTGCTACTGCTACTGGCTACTGTTACTGTCTACTCAGCTACTGCTACTGTACTGTATACTGCTACTATTACTACTGCTTACTATGCTCACTGCCTACTGCTACTGCTACTGCCTACTGTCCTACTGCTATGGCGTATCTGCTATGCTACTGCTACTGCTCACTGCTATGCTGCGCTTACTGCCTGGCAGCCAACTGCTACTGCTACTGCTGCACAACTGCTACTGCTGACTGCCCTGCCAAGCAACTCGCTAGCTCGCCCTCACTGGCTGCCAGCCAACTGCTACTGCTACGCTCTCTGCTGCAGCAACTGCTACTGCTTACTGCTACTATTACTACTGCTGCTACTGCTGCTATACTGCTACTGCTACGGCTACTGCTAGTGTACTGCATACTGTACTGCCTACTGCGCTACTGCTACTGCTACTGCTACGGTTACTCCCCTACTATTACTACTGCTGCTACTGCCTGCTTCACTGACTGCTACTGCCCTACTGCCCTTATCTGCCCTACTGCTACTGCGACTGCTACTCTACTGCTAACTCGACTGCTAGTGTACTGTACTGCTACTGCTATCTGCCTACTGTTACTGCTACGGCTGCTTACTACTGTACTGGCCTGATGTTTACTGCTGCCAGCAAACTTGCGACTCTACCTGCGGCAGCAACTGCTATGTAGCTGCCTGCAGCAACTGCGACTTGCGCTGGCAGCAACGTGCACGTGCGGTGCAAGCAAGGTGCCTATTGCTACTGCTTGACTGCCTGCCAGCCAACTGCTAGTATGCTCGGACTATGCTTAAATGTCGTACCCATTGACTTCCGCTGCGACCACGGCTGTTCCTACTGACTACTTACACTACTACTTACTGAGATTATCAGGTTGCTATCTTATAATGCTTGAGTTTAAAATATTGTTGAATGTAGGTATTACCATGCAATTGGGAACGTCCAAGCGTAAGCAAACGGGGTTGGTGGGCCTGCAGGGCTTTTACAAGGTGGCGGGAAGTGAAATTAGATTGCTCCGGTTGATGGTAGGACATTGAGGCCTCTTTGGTAGTCTGTTTCCCTTGGGGACGCCTCTATTGGCTGGATGGCGAGATGTTGGGAGTGTTTGATACAGATAAGTCGGTGGTCCGGTCAGCAATTAGGCACAACGCAGTGTTAGATTGGAGTTACTCTGACAGCTTGCGTGCTGTCCCGATTGTTTAAGGGTCAGATAATCACTAGTGCAGTAGGTGCCAGTGTGCTAGAACGTCGTGCATGCCAGGGAAGTTTTGTTGCCGATTCGGTAGAGCGAAACAACTGTGTTAGTTAATGAAGCAGCCTCCAGTTTGATGCTGGCGGTGCACAGGTTTTTCAGCAGGAGCCAGGCCATGCTGTTGCAGGTTGACCCAAACCCGTAATGACTGTACTAGGTGATTTCTCCCAACGGGTCCGCGCGCGTGTGGATCTTGACCAACACTAGGCGGATTGATAATCACCTAAGACAAAGTAATTTATTAGACTTTCGGACGGCGTGCAATGATGGGGCATCGAGTTCTTCGTAGAACTTGCCTTGACATCGTCAGGATGGTCATCGTTGGTCCTAAGCACTAACCATTGTCGAGGTGCGGTTAACCTCAAGGGGAGCTGCTAGTGTCAGTAAGGCGGTTTTGTTATGCCTTACATATCAGACAACAACAACAAACAACAACAACACAAATAATAATAATAATATAACAACAACACAACAACATCAACAGCAGCAGCAAACACACACCACAACTAACACTCCCACCACACACCGCACCACCGCCGCTGCGCTGCCGCCGCCGCCGACCAATAAGCAACAAGATCAGCAATTAAACACAGGAAAAGACTCGATGAGATGAATGAAGCACGCAAGTACATACTGCGTCACTTAAGTATGATATCGTTTTATTGATCAGCATTCCATTTCTGTTGAAGAAGTGAAAAACAAAAACAGCTTAATGTTTGAGTTTCTTTCAAACAACACTCAACAGACACACAATCAACCATTCGTATATTAAGAAAAACATTTGCAATCGAAAAATCCCATATTTCCCATCCTATGAGATTGGCATTTAATCTTTAAGATATATGTATCTGCCCTATCACGACTAGGGCAAGTTAAAAACATACAATAATCAAATCTTTTACTACTGTGACCGGATGTAACGACAATTTTTGGCTGCTAAAACAAATGTCGTGCACTGTTCACACAAAGGTTCGCAGTCACACGTTCAGTTCAGCAGTAATCAATCCTTTCAGATGGCAATTCCATTGCCCATCATAGTGCATGACCAAGCAACACAGAGTAAGATAAAAAGAATTCTTTGAAATTCTCTGAAATCTCCTTTCTACACTACAATCTTCCACCCATATACATTGCACTAAATCCAGAGTAAATTGCCGTTAAACTTCCACGGACTACACTCCAACTGCAGACTTGGTCGGAGGTATCACAATTACAGGTAAAATTCCGCTATAATAATGCAAGTTGCTTCACAGGTAAGCATGGACCTTCGAATGGGCTTGAGTGATGTAGGCTATATTACACAAGGCGGCTTGTAGGTCATATCGCAGCAGGCATTTGACAAGTGGCCTGTAATTCACTACCACTTTTACGATTTACAACATTAAACGTTACATGTTAAACACTTAACATATCACATTCGCTAATCTCACCAACGGTATAACATATGAGCGGAAATTTATCATGCCAAAAT